CTCCCAGCCCTCCCTCTAGAACAGGCCTAGGCCCTTCTAGCTGGGACGGGCAGAGGGGAGGAAGCCAGCGGGCAGGGGGGGGGGAGGAGCTCCCCGCAGTGTGCTAGCCGTCCTCCGTTCCCCCTGCAGTTCCCCCGAAGTCTCCTGAAAAAGCAGAGCTTCAGAAATCGGGGCCTGACACTGCTGGGGGCCCAGCCACCCCCATCCTCCCGCTGGAGGACAGGAGTGAGGTCAGCGAGGGGCGGGGAGGGCTGTTCCTCTCCTCCAGGGCTGCCCGCTGGGCTGCTGGGCTCCTGCCTCCCTTCCCTGGGCACAGGCTGCTGCCCAACCTCCCGCCTCTGGCCCCGTTAAGGACCCACATTTAAGTGGTAGTGGGAGCCGGGCCCCCTTCACCTGGGGGGGACCAGTTCTCCGACGGGGAGCGCGGTCATTGCCTCCCGGGAGCAGGGCCTCCACTACTGCCATCATGTCCCCAGTCTCCTAAGTGGCACCGGCTCCGCGTGTCAGGATCTCACAACCAAGGGCAGCCCGGGGGCTCCGCGGTGGAGCGTCTGCCTTGGGCCCAGGGCGTGATTCCAGGGTCCCGGGATTGAGTCCCACATCCGGCTCCCTGCATGGAGCCTGCTTCTCCCTCTGCCTGGGTCTCTGCCTCTCTCTGTGTCTCTCATGAATAAATAAATAAAATCTTAAAAAAAAAAAAAACAGATCTTGCAACCTGCCATGGGACCTCCACAGAGGAGTGAAAGGTAGCCACTAGGGCAGACAAGTACATGACTCAGTAGAACCTTCCAGAAGGGGCACCTGGGGCGCTCAGGTCATGATCCTGGGGCCCTGGGATGGAGCCCAGCGTCAGGCTCCCTGCTCAGTGGGGAGTCCGCTTCTCCCTCTCCTCCCCTTGCTTAAACTCCTATCCTCTCTCTCTTTCATAAACAAAATCTTAAAAAAATAAAAGAAAGAAAGAAAAAGAACCTTCCAGAAAACTGAAGGGCAGTGGGTAGGCTGAGAAGGCAGGGACCACCGCGAGCAGAGCCCTGGACCAGGAAGCCTGACAGCAGGCTCCGGACTGCAGCCTGCCGGTCGCTCCGTCTGTGGCCACTCTGCGCGCCACCGTGGAAAGGGGGGGAGGGGGGCCGAGCCGCCAGTGCTCCACGCAGGGTGTGACGGGCGCCTGGGTCCCCTTCTCTCCATGGCGGCCCTCGCACCTGGCAAGCTGCTGTGCGGTGAGGGCTCCTGCAGCCACGAGGAGAGCCTCCAGCCCCACGCGGCACTTCCAGATTTGTCCCCACATTAGCCCTGTCTGCTTGGCCCTACACTGGGGCTCTTGGGAACTGAAATGAGAATCTAGTTGAAGCTGAGGCAAGTCCCAGAAGAAGGGCCAGCGTCTTTGTTTTAATAGTGAGAGTGTTGGGCAAAGCACTGTCCGGCCCTAGAGGCCTCAGGAATGACCTGCCGGCACCCAGGTTCAGCCTGCCCCCTCCCCCTCCCCCTGCCTCCCTCCCCCTCCCCCCTCTCCCTCTCCTCCCCCCCCCCCCCACACACCACAGCGGCCAAGGCACACAAGGGTTTCATGATAGACGATGTCCCTGGCTTGACGGTTCCCCAACTGGTTGGCACTTAAAGGCTCTGGGACATCCTGAAAGAAAGACTGTTTAACCTGATATTTCTTTTCTTTTTTTTTTTTTTTTACCTGATATTTCTAAGCTTTTTTGACCCTATTCTCTTTGAATAGTTAGGAATATACTTGCCTGGGGGTAACAGAGACTCTGTCCTAATGACCTAGACTAACCAGGGACTAACCAGGGTGTGTACTATTCTTCCCTAAGTGCAGGTGGGTGGCCCCGGGGGGCGTGATGCCACCACCGCGTCCTCAGCGTCCCGCTCCTTCTCTCTTCCAGTTCGCCCTCAGCGCTGCTCCCTGCAGGGTCACCTCATGGTCCCAGAAGGCTGCCGTGCTCCACTGTGTCTGCATTCCAGGCAGGAGGCGAGGTGGGGGCGTGCAGGACCTTCCTAGGGGCTGCGCACACCAGTTCTCCTTGCTCAGGTCTCATGGCCACTCCCGGTTGCAGGGGGGCGGGGCTGGGGTATGTATGCACGTGGCCTCCTGGACAGACACATGGCCCCCAGGACAAGACGTGTTCTGCTGCAGCCTCGGTCACCGTGCATGTGTTGTGCCTCCGTGCCCTAGGCCCTGGGTGGAGTCGGGGTGAGCTGGGCCCAGCCTTCCCTCCTGGCCGTGCAGCTTCGGAAGAGCCCCCTGACCGCCCTCGGCCCGCGTTCTGTTCTTCCAAATAGAGGTTCTCACGAGGACCCGGCGACATGAAGCGCGTGCAGGCCCTTGATGACCTCAGAGACGCTGCAGCAGGAGAGACACTGGTTTCACAAGACCTCTGAATGGCCTTGAAGCAGACAGGGCTACGCTTCCCTCCCTGCTTCCCGTAGAGGACGCCGAGGCTCAGACGCGGGTTGACCTCTAGTGACAGGGTCTTGGCCTTGTCTCTGTTACTGCACCGGACGCCAGCCTGAGCCTCAGCCCTGACCGCGCTTACAGACTGGGACTTGACGCTCGTTTTAGTGTCGCTTCTGCTCTTAGACTGAACCTTAAAGCTGGTTGTGGACTGAGCCTTAATCCCCACCTAGGTCTAAGCCTTGATCTTGGCCTCTTAGCCCTAATCGATGGAGGGGCCCTCTTGAACCCCCCACCCCGGGAGTCCCCAGAGATGTGCACTGGGCCCCGGGGCGGGGGCATGGATGATGGATGCCGATGACTCCCAGGCTCTAACATCCCTTCCAGCCGCGCTCCCGGCCCCCCACCACATCTGTCATGCTGGCTCATCCAGATCCTGCAAATTAGAGGAGAGAACAAACCAAGCCTGTGGTCCCCAGTGGGGAGAAGAGAACGGGTGTCCAGGGAAACAGGAGGAGCAAACAGCCTGCCTCCCCTCCCCCCAGTGCCGTCCCAGCCCGGACAGCGAAGGGCAGCTGTACTGGGGAAGGTATTGAAATTTAAATCAGAGCCTGGCCTCGCCACCCTGCCCGCCGCGCCCACCGCCACGGCCGCCTGTAATCTGGGGCTGGCCATCTCCTCCCGGGGAGAACCACAGACCGACTCGGGGAAAGTGATAAATTTTCAATTTTATTTTAAAATATACCAGATGGGAGATTTTATTGGAGCCATAAATATGTCAAGAGCAGTGTTGGTGTGTGATGGGCGATGCCCCCTCCTTGGGGCCTCTCTCCCTGTTTAGAAATTCCATCAGATTCTTAATAAGAGACTGCAGCAAAATAGTCTCTATATTAAAGCAATTGAATTTCCATTTGCCAGACATCTTGTGCTTGAAGCTTCCAGGTTCCAGGGGTGTGGGGTTGCTAAGCCGATTCTAAATGAACCTAAACTAATAACTGTACAGCACGCTGGGGGCTGTGAAAGAGCAGAAGGGGGGGAGACGAGGGGAGGGGGAAGGCGAGGAGGACGCAGTACCACTGTCACCTCTCCTGCTCCAGGGCCTTCCTGGGATGAAAACCCCCAAATAACTGAAGAGCCAGCGCCTTCCGTTCACAAAGGGGAAACCGAGGCGCAGGAAGAGAGGTGACGTTGCTGAACCCTGGCCCCCCTTCTCCTGCCATTGCTTTCTTTGCTGTCACGATTGCTCTGGTATTATGCTGGCCTTTGTGGGGTGGAGGGAAGGGCTGCTGCCCCCTGAGGTTTGTTGACTGTAGGGCCATGAGGAAGGCTGGCCCTTGTCCCCAAGACTCTCCCCGGCACAGGGATTCACTTTTGGAAGACTGTGCTCCTGCCCGGGTATTGTCATCCGCTCTTGCCTGTGCCATCCCCCTCGTCCCCAGCGGTCCTCGCCTGTGTCAAGTTGTTCTTTGCTCCTGCAGAGACCACAGCCTTTCACCAGCCTCGAGCATCAGCTCAGATCACAGACTCAAGGACATTAGAGGTCACATGGATCCAAAGGTTGAGGAACCTGAGGTCCGGAGAGGGCACAGGGAGTACAGCTCTTCTAGAACAGTCTAGAGTGATGCCTACCTACAGCCCATCTACTCACCCCAACTTGAGACAGGTCTAGGGGGGGACAGGTTGACACAGGCCCAGACAATGCCCAGGTGGTGAGGGTTGGAGCTTCAGCAAGATATCACCTTTGTTCAGGGCAAACCACTATGCTGAGCGTCTATCCTCAAAAATGGGCATACACTTCTGGGTACTGAAAACAAGCAAAAACGGGGCGTCTGAGTGGCTCAATTGGTTAAGGGTCTGCTTTCGGCTCCAGTCATGATCCCAGGGTCCTGAGATAGAGCCCCACATCCTGCTGCGTGCTCAGCGGGAGTCTACGTCTCCCTCTCCCTTTCTCCTCCTCCTGCTCATGCTCTTTATTTCTCAAATAAATAATATCTTTTTTAAAATAATAAAAATTAAAAAAAATAATAAAAATAATGGGTGTAATGTGCCTGAGTGGCTCAATTGGTTGAGCGTCCAATTCTTGATTTCAGGTCATAATCTCAGGGTTATGAGATTGAGCCCTGTGTCACTGGGCTCCGTGCCCAGCGGGGAGACTGCTTCAGATTTTCTATTTCTCTCTCTTTAAAAAAAAATTTTTTTTAAATAAATACAAAATAATGGGTATACTGCTACTTATACCCCAAAGTATTTGAGAGGCTAAATGAGATAATCCATGACAATTGTTTAGCATAATGCTGTCTCCTAGTAAGTGCTCCCAAAATGTTAGCGATTATTATTCCTTTGTTATTATGATTATCATTACTGCTCTGGATGCTTCCTTTTTTTTTTCTTTTAAAGATTTTACTTATTTATTCATGAGAGACAGAGAGAGAGAGAGGCAGAGACACAGGCAGAGGGAGAAGCAGGCTCCATGCAGGGAGCCCGACGTGGGACTTGATCTCAGGACCCCAGGGTCACGCCCTGAGCCCAAGGCAGACGCTCAAGGCTGAGCCCCCCGGGTGCCCCTCTCTGGATGCTTACAATGGTTCTTTATTCCCTGTGGATCTGCATCCTCCTGGTTGTCCGACGAGATTCTGTAGGTGGTAGCCCCTCAACGCCGAGTTTAATAGTTGAGGATGTTCCATCCATTGGGACAAGACGTGAGCTCTGGAGACAGTCGGCAGACTCACATCCACTGCTCTGGGTCTTGATTTCCTCCTCTGTGAAATGGGTGAGCTCTCCTTTCACTGCCTTCCTTTCAAGGCTGTTGCAAGGATCAGAGCTAGAGGACGCTCCCTTATCCTACACTGAGCACAGCAAGGCTGTGGAGCACAGCGAGCAGAGGAAGAGTGGGGGGTGACGAGGGGAGAAGGGTGATGGAGAGAGAGGAACCCATCGTGCAGACAATGGCATTGAATTTGTCATTGGAAGGTGGACCTTTACAGGTTAATCTGAAGATCCCAAAAATGATAAGGTTGTAGGGTCGTCCCAGCCATGTGTGAGAGCCAGTGGGACCAGAGTGGGAGTGGGGATCTCTAGCGAAATCAGCTGTGGGGCGTGGCCTCTCATCTCCCCTGGGGAATCCCTCCCCTGCCCCCCCACCCCCCCCACCCCTGCTTGGGACTGCTCCCAGGGAAGCCAGGACAGGTTGGGGTGAACCTCCTGTGGGGCCTTCCCCGCCCAGGGGAGGCTGGCTGCAAGTCTCTGAGGGCTTGGAGGCTGCCAGGACCCACAAGAGCACTAAGAACCATGAGCAGACAGACAGAAGGCTCCGGAGGCCCCTGACACTCTGGAAAGGGCAGTTGGGTGTGTCTGGAGTTTACTGAGGGGCCCGAAGCCCAGCTGCAGCGCCGTGCCCACTTCCCATGCCGCCCCTCACCACCCCCTTCCCACCATCCGACCTGTCTAACCTCCAGGTCCCAGATCCCAGCCCCAGGAAATGCGGGCCCAGGGAGGGAGAGGCCCTGTTGGGCCCGGAGGGCAGCTCAAGGTCAAAGGCCCGTGGTCCCTCGGGCCACCCTGCTCTCCCCGCGGAGGAAGCTTCCCGTGTCCGCCAATGTGGGACGAGCCACGGCCTGGAGGAGGCTGCACCCCAGCCCCGGCGACACCGCGGCAGAGCAAGAGGCCCCGTGGGGAGCTCGGTTTGGAGTGGACTGTCCTCACCTGCTCGCTCACCGTGTGGCCCTGGAGAAGTGTCCCCATGTGCCTGAGCCCCCCACCCCCACCCCGTTCTTTTATGTGTAGTTTGAGCGCGATGAGATGTGCTTCTCAGGGTTGCTGCGAGGACGTGGGGAGCGGCCCGGCCAGCACCCCAGGCTGCGGGCCTTCAGAGCCGGCATCACTGGGTTCCCACCCGAGCCCTGCCACCTACCAGCTGGGTGGCCTTGGGTGAGTCGCTTGACCTCTCTGTGCCTCCTTTCCCAGCGGCAAGATGGGATCAAGGACAGCTCTGCTGTCGCTGTGCAGATTGAAGGAGTTCTTTACTGGAAGCATTTAGGCTTTGGCCTGCTGTGGGCGTTACCACGCCCCCCGCCCCCCCAGGCCTCCCGGGGGCGCTTCACCCCTGGCCAGCTCCTACCCCCCACCCTCCACACCCTGGCTGTCTTGCCCCACTTGCCGCCCTCCTACGGCCGGGCACCCCCGTAGGAGGTCCTGGGTCCCCAGGGTGACCTTGCAGCACCGGTCCCCGGGCTCAGACTGGCCCAGCGGCCATCGATCGCGGAGCAGGGCGCAGTGAACCAGATGGCGCTCCTAACGGCTTCTTAATGGGATGGAGCTCGCCTGCCGAGAGCTGGGGGGGGCTCTCAAGGTCGGCCAGCGTCAGCCTGACCTTGAAGCCCGCATCCTGGGAGCCGCTGCCAGGAGCGCCCGCCCAGGGGTTCCCAGGCCGCAGGCCTCGAGCTTCTCCGTTGTCAGCGGGGCCCCGGGTCCGGGCTGCGGACAGGTGTCTGGACGAACAGTGACGAGGTGTGAAACGGGTAAGCGGGGCAGGTGGCCTGGCCCCGGAGCCCCACCAGGACCCAGCTCCGATGCCCCCAGCCCAGAGCTCCCCCGGAGCAGAGGCTGGGAAGAGAGACCACTCCCCGCTCCCCCGTCCTCTCTGCTTCCCACGGATCAGCAGAAGTCGGGGCAACTCAGTCATCAGCTGGGGCCCAGAGCAGGGCCAGCCAGGCTGCAGCCCCCCACCCCCTAGGGAGGGTGACACTCCTCCAGGGGAGGCTCAGCACTGTCACCACAGCCCCTGGGGCCAGAGGCAGGCCTGTCCGAAGAGGCCAGACCGCAGCCTCCTCCTGGTGGGCCTCCCAGGTTGGTGGTGGGCCTCCGCTACACACCTCGCGGCCCACGCACGGCTGTTCCCACTGTGCTCTGGAAGGTGAGGACAGTCCTAAGTCTGTTTTACAGACAAGGAAGCCAAGGCACGGGGTGCTGGGCCAGCAGCAGGGGAGGTGGAGCTGAAGCCAAATGCGAGGACTGGCCCCAGCCCGGGGCACACTGTTCCTCCCCCCCCAACAGGAGTGCTTGAGCCCGTTCTGTGGGGCCAGGATCCCAGCAAGCAGCTGGGCTCCGGCAGCCAGGCCTTCAAGGGGACCCAAGGGAGGACAGGAGCAGGGCAGCTCCCGCCCAGCCCCCCGCCCAGAGCCCGGGCCACAGGCCAGGGCCCCTTGGGGACAGAGGCCCAGGCTCCTTCCAGATCAAGTCATGGGAAACCCGGGGCTTCCGGCGTCCCTGGGCGCCCGCCCCTCCCAGGGAAGCCCAGGGGACCGGGCGTCGCATGGCAGGCTCTCGGGCTGGGAGCCAGGCCGCTTGGTTCAGTCCCCACCTGCTGGGCCGGGGGGGCCGGGGACCAGCTCCTGCCCCATCTGTGAGGGAGGACAAGGTCCCATGCGCGCCCGTGTTGGGGGCCTGGCCCGCTGCGCACCGCAAGGTGACCCAGGCAGACGGGCGGCTGGAGGAGCAGAGCCCCCAGAGCCCGGGCCTGTGGGCAGAGCCCAAGCTTCCCCACTGCCTCGGCCCCCAGAGCAGGCCCCACAGCCCCCGCGTCCCAGGACTTGGGGCCCGGGCCCAGCCCAAGGCAGCCCCGGGCGGCTCTGAGCACAGTCCTGCCCAGCCTGGCTGGCCCGGGCCTGAACCAGGGGGAAGGAAGCCCAGGTGCCTGGGGGCCAGGGGCTGGGGAGCCAGGGACGGCGGCACCCCGGCACCGGCCTCACTGTCCCCGTCTGGACAGTGGTCGCAGCACTTCTGCTGCTTTCTCAGGCTCTGCCTGAGGGCAAGAATGTGACCCAGACCACGGCACAAGAAGGGAGAAGGGAGGGCACCACCCCGGGACTCGTCAGGAGGGCCCACTGTGTCTGCTTCTTCCAGATGGTTCATGGGCTGGGATGCCTCGCCCAGGCCGGCTGCACAGAGACAGCGAGCCGGGCTCTAAGCTTGGCCTCTAAGGCCTGCGCCCAAGGCCCTCAAGGAGACCAGGTGGGCGCTGGCAAGGATGGGGAGGGGTGTGGGGTGGGGGCCGGGCTGCCCCGTCCCCTCTCCAGCTCCTAGCTGTGTGCCCGTCCAGGCCTCTGGCTTGGGGCCCCTGTGGGGCGGAAGAAGAGGCAAACAGGACCAGGAACCAGCCCACCTGCAGGACCTAATCCCCTGGGGGCAGGGCGGTGAGCAGAGGGTGCGGGGCAGGCCTCCTTCCACCCACAGGCCGGGCCCCGGGCTGGGTCCATCTTCACCACCCCTGCGCCCGCCTTGGCCTTTGTTGGCCTGGGGCCTCCAGGGAGCAGACCAGGCACAGCCGTCAGAGCAGCACGATCCAGCACGTGTCCCTCGAGTCGACAACGCGTCCCCTGTTCTCCTTTCACAGCCGTCCTGTCTTGGGGGACGTCCGTTCCCAGCTGACCCAGGGAGACCGACCTGCCTGGTCTGTGGAGCTCGTGAGTGTGAAGCCCAGGGCTCAGACTCGGGCTTTCGGACTCCAGGCTCAGGCGGCCGACTGTCTCCCCGACCTGCCCCATTAGCAGGTCCTCCTGGAGGGTGAAGCATGGCCCTCTGGAGACCTGTCGGTGGGGGGGAGGGTGCGCTTCGGCACCCAGCTCAGGCCCAGCAGACACGGACGACGAGCTCCTCAGGCTGCCAGAGGGACATCGTGGTGCTCAGTGTTCCCCGAGTGCGCGGCATGAGAGGGCAGGTGGGGGCTGGCTGCCACCCGCTCGTCCTTCCCCCGCTTCTCCAGCCCCCTTGTCCTGTCCCCTACCCAGAAGGCTGTGTCCCCTGCTCTACGCCAAGTTCCCTACCCTAGTCTCACAGAGCAGGTCCCTTGGCTTCCTCACGGTGCTAAAGCCGAGCTGGGGTCTGAGGAGGCGAGGGGGCCCCCATCCCACGGAGACCCATCTGCCACCCACGCTGGGCCCCAAGGCTCTAGTCCTTTCTGCCTGTGGGCTGTCTTGGCACAGGGCGTGGACACACATCCCTGAAACTACATAGGGCCAACCCGCCCCCCACGCTCCCACCCTCTTCCCAGGTGTCTCTCTTGAGAACCTGCCAAAGTCCTCCCACTTCTCCGGTAGGAAAAGACTCTCCAGTGGAGAGATTTCTGTCGACAGTCTGAGTGGCCCGTGACACACTCAGGCCCGTCCGAATCCCCCATCCAGGATCTGAGAAGCAGCAGCTCACCCAGCATCCCGGTCCTCGGAGGTTGTCACCCCGGCCTCCCCCTCAGCAGGACCCTCTTCTGGGGTTGGGACGGGAGGAACCGGGCGCCGGGTTCTGGCCTCAGCCCTGCTGCTGACTTGCTGGGTCCACAGACAAGATGCCTGCTGTGTGCGCTCCAGGCTCTTGCCCACGAAGTGGGTATGAGCCGGCGCTCGGGGCTTCAGGCTCAGGATCTCTTCGAGCCCCTCCGTCCTCTGTCTTATCCTCTGTCTTCCTGCCGGGGCTCACACCTCTCCCTGCCCGCCTCTGCTCCCCTCCTCGTGGGCCCCTCAGAGGAGGAGGCATGTGGCCCACATTCCTGTCTCTCCCGGGGGGCTCCCAGCCACGGCCCCTGCAGCCCATGTGGCCGGGTCGACACGCAGAAGCGGAGCCACACGGCCACGGTACTGAGCCCTTCTCCCTGCTGGCAGGCTGGAGCCTTACTCCCCTTACATAAGCCCACTGGGTCCTTCCTGGGGGGAAGGTGCTGGGGGCACAGATTGGCTTATTCTACTGATCCAGCGGGAGGCTTGTGCCCAAGAGGAACTGCAGGTCCATCCCTGCGCGCGCGGCCAGCTTGCTCTTGCCAGCACACACACCGCTTGTCCCCTTTCCCTCTCCCCTAACACCCAGGCCTCCATGGGCTCTCGCACCTCAGGGACGTGGGGACTCCCCAGGGACCTCCCTCCCTCCTTCCCGGAGAACTGCTGGGAGTAGACAGGTCTGGGATGCCAGGTTCCTCACTAGACCTGATGGGTCAGCCCGGAGATGGGGTGTCTGATGTCAAACACCACGCAAGGCGCAGAGAGGACGAGACATTACACACGGCCCAGAAAAACGGTGAAATGGGGCAAGTTCCTCTGTATCCCCTTCACCCACTGTCCACAGTCCTACCAGGGACTGTCCTGGCCAGAAGAGAAGCACAAATTGGGTAACTCCCTTCCGATAAAATTTCAGGCCAGCCAGAGCTCGGGTAACCTCAAAAGAAGAGACTGAAAAAAAAAAAAAAAAAAAAAGAAGAGACCGCTAATGGTGGCACTTTGGGCATTTTTAGAAGAGATCATGTGGATCAGGATGCTTTTCTGGTATTCTTACTTTTTTGTAAAGATGTTCTTTATTTATTTATTTGAGAGAGAGAGTGAGAGCGAGCGAGAGGAGGAGCAGGGGGTGGGCAGAGGGGGAAGCAGGCTCCCCATCAAGCAGGGAGCCTGAGGCAAGGATTTATCCCAGGCTCGGGGATCGTGACCCGAGCCAAAGGCAGATGCTTGACCGGCCGAGCCACCAGGCCCCCTTCTCTAGTATCCTTAAAAAGCCCGTGGTTGTGGTCCCACCCATGAATGTGAGTGAGGTCAAGGGCAGAGGGACACAGGTGGTACCGTGAAACACGGGGCCCCACAAAGACTCATACCCCATAGCCGCCTTGGTCATAATAACCCAAAGCTGGAAGCAACCGTGAACAAGCCCCAGCGGGTGATCACACGAGCAGGGACGCTGACACGAGATAGGCCTCGGCCATCAGAAGGATCACGCTGCCGCATGGGCAGCTGTGTGAATGGCTCTCACGGTGATCGTCCCAAGCGAAAGCAGCCAGGCAAAAACAGAATAAAAAAGAAGGAAAGGTACGCATGGAATGATTCCTTGTAAAAAAAAAAAAAAAGAAGGAATGATTCCTTGTACGTGAAAATCCAGAACAAGTAAAACCAATCGCGGTGATAGAAATCAGAGCTAGGGTTGGTCAGGTCGGGGTAGGAGGAGGAGGTGATGGGGAAGGGGCATGGGAGAACTTTCCAGAGCATCAGGACTGATGTGTCCCTACCTTGATGCGGGTGGCAGGTGTTGGCACAACTGCCAAAACCTATCAGACTGTAGAGTTCGGGTTTTATGTAGAATGTGCCTCAGCAAATAAATACATAGGTAATAATACAAGCCTGACAAATGGTGTTTATTCCATTGCTCAAATCTTTATTTTGAAATCGTTGTCAACTTATAGAAAAGTGGGGGATCCCTGGGAAGCTCAGCGGTTTAGCGTCTGCCTTCGGCCCAGGGCCTGATCCTGGAGTCCTGGGATCGAGTCCCGCGTCAGGCTCCCTGCATGGAGCCTGCTTCTCCCTCTGCCTGTGTCTCTGCTTCTCTCCCTCTCTCTCTGTATCTTTCATGAATAAATAAAATCTTAAAAAAAAAAGTATAGAAAATGCTTTCACTCAGCATAATTATCTTGGATTTTTTAAAAGTAATCTCTACAACCAACATAGGGCTTGAACTCCT